AACTTCTGCTAGCAAGAAGAGTACATTGTTTCCCACTTTTTGTTCTTATTACAGAATAACAGAATATGCTGAGTTGGAAGGGACCCACAAGGATCATCAAGTCCAACCCTTAGCCCTGCACAGGACCAGCCCCGAGAGTCACACCATGTATCATCCAAACACTTCTTGAACGCTGTCAGACTTGGTGCTGTGACCACTCCCCTGGGGAGCCTGTTCCAGCCCATAACGACCCTCTGGATGAAGAGCCTCTTCCTAATATCCAACCTAAACCTCCCCGACACAACTTCAGGTCATTCCCTTGGTTTCTGTCACTGGTCACCAGAGAGAAGAGATCAGTGCCTGCCCCTCCTCTTCCCCTCACGAGGAAGTTGTAACTGCAGTGAGGTCTCCTGTCAGTCTCCTCTTCTCCAGCTGAACAGACCAAGTGCCCTCAGCTGCTCCTCACACGGCTTCCCCTCAAGGCCCATCACCATCTTTGTTTCCCTCCTTTGGATTCTCTTTAATACCCTGACATCTTTCTTATATTTCAGTGCCCAAAAGTGCCACAATATTCCAGGTGAGGCTGCCCCAGGTCAGAGCAGAGCAGGACAATCCCCTCCTTCGACCGGCTGGTGATGCTTTGCCTGATGCCCCCCAGGACAGGGTTGGCCCTCCTGGCTGCCAGGGCACTGCTGACTCGTGGCCAACTGGTCATCAACCAGGACCCCCAGGTCCCTTTCCTTGGCACTGCTTTCCAGCATCTCATTCCCAGTCTGTCCGTACATCAGGGGTTGCCCCATCCAGGTGCAGAATCTGGCCCTTCCCCTTATTGAACTTCCCTTGGTGGTGATTCCCAGCCCTCTAATTTGTTGAGGTCTCTCTGCAGGGCCTCCCTGCCTTTGAGGGAGTCAACAGCTCCTCCCAGTTTTTTGTTATCTGCAAACATGCTCAGTGTCCCTTCCAGTCCTGCATCCAAGTAATTTGTGAGATGTTGAAGAGCACAGGGCCCAAGATGGAGCCCTGCAGAACCCCTTAGAAACAGGTGGCCAGTCTGTTGTCACCCCAGTCACTATTACCCTCTGTGCTCGACCTGTGAGCCAATTGCTCACCCACCACAGGATGTGTTTATCCAGCTCTGGGCTGGACATTTTGTGCAGAAGGATCCTGTGAGAGTCACTATTGAAAGCTTTACTGAAATCCAAAAGATTACATCAGTTGGCTTCCCATGATCAGCTAGGTGGGTTACCTTGTCAGAGAAGGAAATCGGATTTGATAAGCAGGACTTTCCTCTCACGAAGCCTTGCGGGCTGTGACTGATGACAGTGTTGTCTTTGAGGTGTTTTTCAGTATGTCCCAGAATAATCTTCTCCATAACTTTACCAGGCACTGAAGTCAGACTGACAGGCCTGTAGTTTCTGGGGTCCTCCTTCTCACCCTTCTTGAAAATCAGGACAACATTAGCCAGCTTCCAGTCAGGTGCGACCTCTCTGGATTCCCAAGACTGCTCAAAGTACATCGAGAGAGGTTGTGCAATGATATCAGCAGCTCTTTGAGGATTCTGGGATGAATCCCATCAGGCCTCATAGATGTGTAGGCATCCAGCTGGAGCAGCAGGTCCCACACAATTTCAGGGTCGACTGGGAGTTGATCATTCTCACAGTCATGGTCCTCCAGCTTAGGGCACTGAGACCCCTTGGTCCATCATCTGTGTTGAAGACAGAGGCAAAGAAAGCGTTAAACACCTCTGCCTTGTCTGTGTCCCTGTCTGTGAGGTGACCAACCCCATCCTGTAACAAGACGATGATATTTTCACACTGCCTCTTACCATTAAAACACTTGAAAAAACTCCTTTTATTGTCCCCCATATTTCTGGCAGCTTCAACTCCAGTTGAGCTTTGGCTGCATAAATTTTCTCCCTACAATGGCAAGCAGCATCTCTGAATTCTTCCCATGTCACTTGGCCTTGCTACCACTGGGCATACACCTTCCTTTTTTTTCCTTATTTCTTCTCTTTTTTCCAAGAGAAGATCCCTGCTCAGCCAAGCCGGCCTTCTGCCTCACCTGGTTGACTTCCAACATTTGGGAATTGCCTGCTCCTGTGCCCTCAGGAGGTGATGTTTGAAAAGTGACCAGCACTGATGCACCCCAGCACATGCAAAAACATTTTTCCAGGGCATTTTACTTACTAATTCCCTGGGCAGCCTGAAGTCTGCTCTCCTCATGTCCAGAGTTGAGGTTTTGCTGGCACTTTTCCTCCTGTCAATAGAGATTTTAAACTCGATCATTTTGTGGTCGCTGTGGCCAAGACAGCTGTGAATCTCCATTTCTCTCACAAGATCCACTCTGTTGAAAAGCAGCAGATCAAGGAGGACATTTTTCTGAGTTGGCTGCCTTACATCCTGGTCCATAAAGTTGTCATCCATGTATTTTACGATTAGGGCAGATGTGTGAAACAGTGGAAAAAGAAATATTTTGTGGAGAAACCAGAATCCGATTGGGAAAGATACAAAGCGTGGAGGGAGCTCTACAGAAATTGAATGGACTGTGGATATACCTGATGGACTTTTCACCAGACTGACTGTTGCTCCCCAGTTTTTATTGTGTTATGTGTTTCTACTGTTGTACCCCTGTTTGCTGCTGGTTTTTTATGAAATTTTGATGTACCCCCATATTAGCCCTTCTTCTCCCTCAGACTTTCCCGCCTAAAGTTGTTTACTCCCCTGTTCTCCCCTGCTTTCCCGCTCCTCTGACACTGATTGGCTGGAATTTGCCGCAGTGCAGAGTGAGCTCCCATTGGCCCTTTCCCCTGGATACCCCAGAGTTACACCTACCTCTCCCTTATCTCCCAATCCTGACTCTCCCTGGGCTGTCAGTCCCAAGCTCCTCCCCAGTTCTGAATCCTCCCCTCAGACCTACCCTATTTAAGTCCCTGCTCTCCCTCAATAAAGTGGCATTGCTCCTTCACCCTTCACCTGTGTCCGGACCCTCTTTGCAGTGCCGCGTCCCATTCCCTTTCCCCTTCGGACCGTGGCAATATTTGATTTTTTTTAACTCAAATGTTCCTGGAAAAGAGACACCAGAAATAATGTATCTTTACGAACCAAAATGATGTAAATACCTCCAAATGTGAGGTTTTAGAACTACCAAATTGAATGCTGTAACTGTTCTTTCTTTGGTGTTTAAGGTGAGAAAAAGCCAGAGTTTGACATTTTGCTCATAAAACTAACATCCCATTTCTTGTCACTGATAGCAGGTGGTACAGGAACTTAAAAATCAAACTCTTCTTTCCCAGAAACCCTTCTCTGAGGCCTTCTGTCTCAATGCAATCAAACTATAGTTTAATTCACCTCCTTTTAAAAAAATTTTGTTTCCTGCTAAATAGAGCAGTCAAACGAAGTGGGAAAAAAACAACTGGTTTGGGCTTTATTGTAGAATTTTTCATACTCTGTCTATTCTTATAATTTTTTTTCCCCCCAGATTTGCAGTGTATTTAGTTATGTGCTCAGGTCAGGGCATAGCCAGGCCAGAACCTGTCATGTCAGTTTGAGTGTGGATCATCACACCTTTGCTGCACAGCACTCTGGGAGTGTCTTGGCTGCACCCGATGGGATGTCTCACCTTCTTTAACAAGGGTGCAGGTCTAGACCTCCTGAGCATCCACTGGTACCCACCCCCTCCCTGCTTCCACAGACTTCTAGCAAGTCCCTGTTTTCCCCCCGTGCTTTGTTCTCCCGAGCGTACAACACTCGGATCTCCTGTGAGGGATCAAGGCTGTATTTTCACAGCCCCCAGCACCGCACAGACCTGCTCCATCACCAGCATTTCTAAGAACTGTGACAAAAGCATTATATATTAATAAATTGAAAGGATTTCAGGCCAGTTTTTGATCCTGTAGGGCTTGGTAAGGATGCCTGACCTCAGTGGAGCGGCAACTCACAGCAGCTGAGGGCATGACCTATCTCTCTGCACTTTCACTCTCTGCTGTAACTTGATTCAGAGAGGCAAAGATTATGGTTTGGGGTCTGTTACCTAAACATGAGGCAGAGGACAACAGCAAGGATGCATTTATGGTTAATTTTATACAGTGCCTTGACCAATGAAAATTTGAAGTCTGTTGCCCCTTGTAATTGATGTAATGACTCTCTCAGACCTTTAAAATCAGGAATGTTCTTCTGTGATTACAAAGGACAGTAGAAAAGTGGATTAAATTTCTTAAAGATTCTACTGGTGTTCTATATTTTACTTTTGATTTCTAGTTTAATTAATGTATTTAGCCAAAAAGAGTTGCAAAAGCAATCCTTGAAATGTTTTCCAAAGCATATATAAACGTTAAGAAACGAAAATAAAAGAGCCTGGACCTTATGGTGTAATGTCCAAGATGTTTTAACTCTGAAAGAGTATTTTAAAAAGCAAGGTCTTTTAAAATTCTGTGTTAGCAAGGTAATCCATGGCGATTACAACTACGGAAGATATTGAGCTACTCACACACATTGGTGCTTTACTCAGCAAAATGCAGCTTCCAGAGCTCTTATGAATGCTGACTGTGTTGTTTTAAAAAAAATAAATAAGCAGGAGTGGGAGCGTTGTTTGATCAGAATGGTGAACATTTGGGCTGTCCCTCAGGGAGTGGTTGCTGATACGAAGTCCAAGCAGAGGTAACAGGTGAATTTAGGGAAGGGAAGCTAACACTCGTGGTTTCATTTAACATGGAAATGAATACCCTCATTTTCTATTCCTTTCTCATGAAATTAAAACTGTTATAAAATCAAATAATCTATTTTTAAGAGATGAAAAAGTAGTGGAGTTCAGTGAAGTTCAGGGCACATACAAGCATGAAAGAGGAGGTGGTGGATATCTGAGAGTAACGTGCAGAAGGACACAGTGTAGTACAGACAGAGGAAAGCATTTATTGGTTTCTTGACCCTAGATCTGACTCAGTAGAAATGTCTTGGCTAAATATGTGCTTGCTTGTGTGTATGTGTTTTTAATTAAATCTTTTCTGATTTTATTCCTCCTTGCAGTTGTTAATCAAAGACTGTTATCACTGGAAAAATGGAGGTCAGTGATTTAAGAGCATCTTGCAGAAAAGATTTGGAGGTGAGTGAAATTAAATGGGTATCTGAATCAGACTTTTTTCCTGTATGGACTGAAAACTGAAAACTCATGAGGTTACCTGTAGCCATGTTTGGGATTTTCCAAAGCAGCAGGATCCATAATGTTGGTAACAGACATAGAATTTGAGGGCTCTGTGACAACTCATGGAGATTGTCATTGGTGTTGGGGCTCCACTGTGCAATCCCATTCCCTGGGCCTGAAAGCTTTTGTCTCTATTCTCTGTCTTACCAGTGAGATCACCTGATTAAAGAGCCAGATGGTTTTCTTTCAATTGAGTAAATCTTAAATACTTGGAGCTAGGCTGAGCTTCAGGTCCTGCTGGCTCAGAGGTTACAAGGACAAAAAATGAGAGAATATTTGTCAGCTGGACTGGGGCAGAGCAAAGGTTCCTGTCTGGACTGCAGCTCTCTGGGGTCAGAGATGAGGGAATTGTGACTTTGTGGAAAGTCATGAGTGGGAGACTGTGATCCAAAGCCCTTTTTGCTGGTTAAAGGCTGCAGAATCTGAGTGATGTTACAGCTTTGGGAGAGAGGGCCCTCTGTGAGCAGGGGGTGCACTTGCTGTTCTGGATGTAGTTTGTTTTTAAGAAGAAATTATCCTCAGGAGAGCCAAGAATGGGTGTGGACTGAATTTTCTTCAATAAAAGATTTGCTTGCATGCGGTTGAAACTGTATGGGTTGATATTTTCATGTGACACCTTCACGTCTGCATGGAGGCTGCCCTGCTGTATTTCTGTTCTGGGAACTGTCTGCTACTAGCTGGAAGAAAGACAGTACTGATAATAAAAAAATATATGAAACTGGCTTAAATGAGGTCAGGCTTAGCCTATAAATTCAGATATGAATTAAAAGCAAAATTTTGAGTATTTTAGGGTGTTCAGACCTATGGTTTTCCCCAGAAAGCTCTGTTGGTGCCCTGCCTGGGTTGCTGTAATAGAGCAAACATCAAGGGCCTAAATTTTTAAAAAATGCCCTCCCTCTCTCCTCTCACCTTTACTACTTTAAAACCTTTCCCTGTTTAAAAGCTTCTTAAGTGAGGGTCTCAAAACATCTGAAAAAAAAGTGAAGTAGTAAAATTTTGTTATGATTTGGTCGTTTAGGCCACTCCTAACTTCAGTGGTATTGCAGTCAGTGCTCTGGTTTTTTACCTCTGACTGCTGATTCTCCAGACTCAGTAACGGCTGATTGGTGCAATTTGTGGCTCTTGTGCATTTTTGTGCAGAAAAACAGCAGTTCAGATTCCGCATATCTCATGTCTGTGTATTGTGGATTGAAAAATTAACACAGCTTTCCACTCACTAAATGCTGTCATCACCATCTAGTTGTCAGAGTGGTTTAAGTCTGTTATTGGGATAGGAAACACGCAGAAGTGTTATTAAAAATCTAGCATCTCTAAAGATATAGACAGATCAAATGTAATGACAGTCATAGGCATTTGATTTTTGAGTACAGCCTTCACAAATACACCTCTCAAACACCACTTTGCTGCAAATCTGTAACTCATTGCGAAGCGCAAACTTCAAATCTCTCTCTAAGTGATAAAAGAAAAAGAATAAAAAAGATTATCAAATCTAGCACATGGTAGGTAAATGATAGGTCATTTTTAAGGTGTTTAATGGAATAAATCCTGTTCATCAAAGCCTGCAGGTTTGTAGTCTGGCCCAATGTGGGCTAAATGGGATCACAGCAAAAGATAGTTTGTTTTTCCTTACATGACACTTTGTGAAAGTGCAGGTACTTTTTATAAAGATCTCTCAGAGGGTTATCAGTAATGACTGCGGGAAGGGCCACATTTTGATCAATAGTTGTTGGGTCCCTAAACCCATCTGTTTAGTCTCCCACAGGACTTAGTTGTCTGCAAAGTCCCTTAATCATTCATGAACCCTTTAGAGAGGGATCGCCCACTGTCTTAAAATCACCTCCTGCTTTTGCCTTTTTTTTTTCCTAAAGATCTTTGGGTGCTTTAACAAATCAGTCGTGGTTATTAGCCATGACATCATATTCATCCTGTAACTAATATTCATGGGCTGGGCCTTTTCCTACAAGCCCTGGTTGCTATGGTCTTCCTCTCCTGTTGCAACTTCCTTAAAGGTCCTTCTGTCATTAATTTAGCAAGAGTGGTGGTCCTTCAGGCCACCTTTAAAACATATTCAATAAGTGAAGTCTTCAGGTACTGTAAAAGATGCAGTTGTTAAGGAGATGAAGAATAGGTGAGCAATAATCTTCATTAGGATCCATACCTTCTCTGCACAGGCTCCTTCCTACTATGGAGCTGCTCACTGCACTCTCCTGTGTAGCAGAGCTGCACCTCTGGGAAATTGAGTCTGAATTTTTTCAGAGCCTGTTGCATTATAACAGGAGGAAAAAAATCACTGTCCATAGAAAGCAGGCAGCTGAGGAAATGGCCTTTGCAGACTCTGGTAGCCCTTCTTTATGGTATCAAGCTTGAAAAGAAGTGTGCAGGGTTCTGCCTGTCTGAAGCATTTCCAGCGTAGTTTGTGTTTCTATTGTCTGCACGTACAATACCAGGCATAGTTTGTAAGTTTGGTGGGAAGGGTTTACTACTGAAAGGTTGTAAAAATAAAAGGATTCATAAGGATTCTGTCCTCTCTGGTGAACTCGCCAGCTTTGTGATCAATGTGCTTTACCGCTCCGCTGCGTGCCACAGTAATTTACAAACATTGGGATTACTCATTTGACTAAAGCCAGTCAATTTTTGCCAGATGAAACAAAGAACTGAGTGGGTTTAGGCTGATCCCTGTAAAAAGGAGAAGATAAATCTCTGTGCAGAGCCCCTGGGTTACCTCAGCAGGGCAGAGGGCTGAAGCTGTAGCATTGGGTCCTGCCCCTGAGAAGGAAGCAGCCAAAGGGTATTGCTCCTGGTGGTGGTTCTCTTCAAGAAGCATAGTGAAACCACTTTCCTCTCCTTACTTATATTACAGCTAAAGAGCAGGCAGCTGTTATCATTTTTCTTTCTTCTGGTAAATAACTGGCTAAAAAGCTTGCTATCAGTCTGTCCTGTTTTTTCTATGTATTTTCTTGATTGCTTAGTGATGTTTAGTATTCTTCATTCCTGTCATTTGATCTGTTGGGTGATAATAGCAGACATCAAAAGCGAGGATTTTGTCTTAGAAACCCTATTGAGGACAGCACAGGCTTGATGTGGCAGAAGCAATAGGCTCTGCATCTGCTGGTATCAGTAAAGTAATGATGGAGATAATTCTGCTTTCTCTACTGGGTAAGTTGTTTTTGTTTTGTTTGGGGTTTTTTGGGCTGTAACCTTCTCCCCCCTCCATATTTCTCTCCAGTTGTACAGCTCTTTGGACAAGGGCCATCACTGAATTGTGCGGAGGACAGGGATCATATGCTGAGACATTTTGGTGGAGCTTAACCATCAATGTGTAAATGGCTTCAAGTCATAATTAAGGAGTCGTAGCCCTCCTGTTTTAGCAAACCACCCTGTACAAGCAATAAGATTTAAACCCACACTTAGCATTCATCACAAGCACAGGAGTTGTGCTGTACAGGGCTTGATTCTCTTTCTGATGAAAATTGCAGGTCCAGATATATAACAGACAGATCTAAAAGAAGGTGGGCTCTGGAGCTGGCGGGTGCCCAGAGGAAGGCAGGGCAGAGGTGGTGTGTGCTGTGCCCACCTGTATAGGAACAGAGAGAGGGGACAGCCTGCTGGCACATCCCAGGCAGTGGCATCCAGCCTCACTGGTGATAGGTGACAGGTCCCTCCCTGGGCCCTGGGGCAGGTATCCCTGCAGGGTGCTTAGATCCTGCAGTGCCTTGTTTGCAGACTAATGCAGATTAGGGGTCAGAAGTGCCTCGTCTACTGATGCTCTCTCCCAGTCTGTGGGGTTATGTGTCATTCAAAAAGCCTTCCTCAGGCCAAACATGCTGCACTGCCTGGGAGTTAGGTACTGGGGCAAGAGACACTGTCATCCTCTCCTCCCTGGAAGTATCAGGGTTTGGGAGGGGATAGGAGGGCCCAGGGGCTTCTAGAAGGCAGCTGCATGGCAGAGAATGTCCGTCACTAATCCCAGCTGTAGCCAAATTTTGACACTTACCTTCTATTTTTAGAAAAGCAAAATATTAAAAATTGGGGGTTTTTCTGTTTTGAGAAAATTGTCCAGATTTCTGACATGTTCCCTGAGGGTTACACCCTGGTTTTTTGTGGCATTCTTAGAAGTAGCCTCTCCCTACCTTTGGTTTCACTCTGTATAAGTTGAAAACCATCACTTGCAGTGCTACTGCATGTGAGAAAAGTACTTCTTCTCAAGCAAAAACAAGAGGCTGCAGGCTTGAGACTGCAATGTGGCCTACTTACAGTCTGTACTCCCTTGAAATTCAGTGTTTTATAGACTTGGTCAGTAATTAAAACAGCCCCAGCATACCAGTGTTAATGGCAGCTTACTTCCCCAGATCAATCCCATTCAATTCCATGCTGTTTTACAATGATTCTTGTAGTTCCTACAGATTTATGAGTTCAAATCCTTTTCCAAAACACATTAAAAGCTGAATTCAGACTGGGTGAGGGTAGTTCCCACCAGAGTTTTTAGGAAGCGCATTGCTTTAGGTTAGAGGCCTGTCTGCAGGAAGATACCGCAAAGTGTTTCACCAGATGCTTGTAATACTAAAAACACCATGGGCAGAGTTCTAGCAATGTAATCATGTTTTAGGATGGCCATTTCTCTTCTTGTTCCAGGTAGAGGGTCCAATCAGACCAGTTTACTGCTTGTTTTCTACTTTCCATCAGCAAGTGCCGTGTGCCCAAACTGCCCTACCAGGGAGCCTACCCCCTGGTAGGCTCACAGGGGTCAGTCCCCACCATGTGACAGGTAAGCTCAGGCTGCCTACCAAAAATCACGGGGCTGAAGGCAGCAAATACTGAGCCCCAACACCTCTGACATGGTTGTTCAGCATAGGGTCACATGTGTTTCCCCCATTTTACAGCTTGGTTTAGCTTTGATGGAA